GGGTAGAACCGGTTTCGCGTGAGATTTGCAGAGTCAATGACCGCCTCTCCCCCCTTCGTCCTCTACCACCTCCCTTCCCCTTTTCTTTTCGCCCAAAGTACACCGGGGCTATATTTTAGAGCTGTTTTCTCGATTTCTTGACGCTGGCTCCGCGCCAGACGCGCCCTGCAGCAGCGCTAAGCGTCCCTCATTCCAGGCTCCACTAATGCCGAGGGAGGGGGCCGGGGGGCCTCCCCGGAGGCGAGCGGGCGAGCAGGCTCCTCTCCGCCGCGAAACACGCGCGCGCGAGGGTCCAACCCTACGGGCGGGGCGAATAAGGAAACTGTTAAAGTTCTTTAATTTGAATCTTGATTTGAGCGGGCGAGCCCAGGCGGGCCCGGGCGGGCTGCCGTCTCATTCCGGGCAAGGCCGCCGTCAGCAGCAAACGAAATTGCGACGCAGTCGGGGGAATTAGCTTCTTTGCCTGCTCGTGTGTTTAGGATCTCTGCAAAATCTAATTCAAAACAACATGTTTCATCGCATTTAGTTGTGTTGACCCCTTTTGCACGATTGGCCATGAAATATTATTAACACAAATTTTATTTTTTAATTAATTTTGTTTTACTTTTATTTTTTTCGAAGCCATTCCCATTGTTTTTTCCGTGTCGCGCGATGCAACTTGGCGCATCGCGCCTGGCCCCTTCCAGACAATGGAGCAGTATGATTCTCTCACGGCGCGGACTCATCATCGCCGGTCGCTAGTCGCTACACTACACACTGCTGCTGCTGCCACTGTTTCGCTTCCGGAAATTATTCGTTCGTCGCGGATAATGAAAACACATCACTGTCGGTAATTACGCACTGCTGCTAGAGCCGACCCGACTGGAAGGACATAAGGGACCGTCCGCAAAGGAACTAGCCGCGGTATCATATCGTGTATATCACGGCCAAGACTGAAGGCCCCTGCTAATTATAATACATAGCACACCACCCCACACGGCGAGTCGACTGTTTCCATGGGCCGCCCGCCGATGTGCTGACGGTGGCGTCGGTCCGCAACACGGTCGTGCGGCGGCGCAGCTCGTCAAAAATTCCACATTTTGCGAAAAAAATATAATCTGAAAACCCCATTTTGCAGCGGCCGCGCGGAGTCAACGCCCAACCCGCTTTCCGATCGCATCGCGCTGACAGTGTCTGCTGACACGCGCTGACACCGGGGGCTGACCCGCAGCGCGCTGCGGGGTCAGCACTATCGCGATATGTCCGTCATCCGGTGACGTCACCCTCTCCTCCTCGTCGCTACACTGTGGAACGGCGAGCAAAGAAAGACGCCCGGTACTATACTGTATTTTTCCCCTAATCGTTTTTGGCTATCCCCTTAATCTTTGATATTCGGTAAGTACTTTCGGATGAGATCAGCATTCCCGTAGAACAAATAATAATACTACAAACAATCGCGTATAGAAAAAAAATCGGACCGGAATCGATGCAAATTAAAATTGTATTTTCGCCATCGTCTAATAATAACGTTCGCCCAATCCGGTCCGGTTCAGCGATGACGGTAATCACGGGGCTAGTCGCGGACAATTATGTGTTTATCTCGCTGCGCCCCCCACTACCGCGCCACGTGCTGGTCCCCCCTCTACA